ATACTTTTCCTCCTCTTTGACTCGCTGTTGCCATGGTTAATAGAAACGCGATGGTTACAGCTACTGTTTTCAGAGTTCGAACCATATCGCAGCCAACTGAAGCTTTGAGAATACGTAGAACGGTCCCGTTTTTCGATTCACTATTTAATGTACGCCCGTTTCCGTTTCCTGTAAATTTTATACACACAGAATTATTAACGATTCACAAAAAAAAAATGTAATTTATATTAATTACTCTCAGATTGTAATTGATACACGAACAAATGTTAATTACTTCTCCTTTTTTTTTGCATTATTTAATTACAACGATTTCATTGTAGATTATCTCACGTAGTTTGTGCGGATTTAAACAAACATTAACAAAAGCAAATAATTGCCTAGCAACAATCTCAATAGTGTAATCAATACTGGCAAAGACTCATAATTTGCGTAATCTACTTAAAATATCAATTTCATATTTTAAACGTTAATTATTCTCCGCGCGCAATTAAAACTGTCGTATTTTTTTATGTAAAGTTTAAGTATTTTGTGCTCCTTCAATTAGACAGCTTTTCAAGTACTTCTTATCGGGTTTTTGTTTTGTTTTGTTTCGGCATTCTTTGTGTACTCGATCCGCGGGAAATTTGAAATTTACTTTTCCGGACGTGTTTTAATCGCGTCATTAAAAAAACGTATTGTGAAATGAGTGGAAAGAATGAAGAAGGAAAAAAAAAAGAAGTTTTGCAAATTTAATAATTGCGGAGCAATTACGTGACAATATTTGAGAGAGTAGAAGGCTAGGATATTTCGCTTTTGTTTTTTTTTGTTTTTCTGCAATAAAATAAGAGTGGGCGGTATGTTAAAACGCCTGCTGGATTTAATTAAAACTATGTAACTATGCGGAGGAGGAAGACTCCAATTTTCTTCTCTCTTTCTCTCGAGTTTTAATTGAATCTCGTTTTAATATTTCCTCGGGTTTTAAAAGTCTTCATCATTGAAAAAAAAAAACTCGGATGTTTTTGCCAACATTCAAGAGGAATCATGCATAATTGAAACTTACATCTCGCGATTTGTTCATTAATTGTACGTAGCAATTGGGTTTGTTTCATTACGAAAGTTCAATATTTCGTAATATATTATAAAGCGTGTCTCAAAATTTACTAACTAACCCTAACCTCTCAGCTGTCAAATTGTTTATTTTTTTAGGGTTGTCAACACTTTACTGCACAAATGGCGGCAAATTCAAATCTTGCGTTAATTTTGGGACCCCTTTTATGACAAGACGTCTGTCATTGTTTAATACTGTTCCGTTCTCGAGATGGCGTCTCCGCTGTCGCTTGATTTGTTATGCAACTTTAACTACTCTAAGAGGAGCATGGAAATATTAGTAAATTCAGTTTAAAACTAAATGGGATTGGTATGTTTCACTCGAAGCGTTCGTGTCAATTGCGTAACATAACGAACTGTCATTGTTTAATTAATTTTTTTGTTCACGAGATGGCGTCTTGTTATTTAAATTTTGTTTTTATTTGTATGCAATTTCAAAACTTTGAGACGTAGACTGTAGACTATAATTTAATTAATAAATTTCGTTGAAAAATGTAATGGAACTAAAGCACAATTGAAACTTATTCATAAGAATCTCGCGAATTGTTCATTAATTGTACGTAGCAATTGGGTTTGTTTCATTACGAAAGTTCAATATTTTGTAATATATTATAAAGGGTGTCCCAAAATGAACGCAAGATTTTTACTAACCCTAACCTCTCAGCTGTCAAATTGTTTTTTTTTTGGGTGGCCAACACTTTACTGCACAAATGGCGGCAAATTCAAATCTTGCGTTAATTTTGGGACACCCTTTATGACAAGACGTCTGTCATTGTTTAATACTGCTCCGTTCTCGAGATGGCGTCTCCGCTGTCGCATGATTTGTTATGCAACTTTAACTACTATAAGATGAGCATGGACATTTGACAGTGTTTCATTAAAGTTTATTTAGTGTATCAAGTGAATTTCGTCTTAGGAATTTAACATTAATTAGATAGTAATTCAGTTTATTTAATTATGAAAGCTACAACGTACGTTTTATACTTCTTCTTTTTTTTTGCTACAAGAGATGGCGTCGTCGCCGTCGTTTGATTTGTTATGCAATTTCAATGATTCAAAGTATTTACTTGAGTATAAGTAAATGCGATTTTATTTTCTGCTACGAAAGATATTTCGTGTTTGGAGATTCATCAATTCGATTCCGAATCGTACAGATGACGTGACTTATCAACTTTTCACTTACAGTTTTCTATTTTACTTTTTTTACCTCAACGTCGTCGCATCTGCCAAATTCGATAAATTCCCAATTTACCCGTTTCCCATATCCCCCCCTCCACCCCTCTCTCGCGCTGTCTGCATAATGACTTTTCTGCGAGTTCGCGAATGCAGATGGCGCCACCGTCGCCGAGGTTTCCCTTCCTTTTGGATACGTTTGCATTCTGGGCTATTTCTGGAAATGCGCCCTTGACCCTATCGCCGCTCGATAAAACGTGTACGTCGCATGCACACACACACACAGACTCTGGTGCGGAAGCAACAGTCGTCTCCTCCGCAATTCCACCGCTAATCCACAAACAAATGTCACCATTTCATACGCTCTCGCAACCACCCACACACACCAGATGCACACAAAAGAATAGTTTCTCATGTGTTCTCCCGCTTTCATAATACCACTTGCGAGAATCCAAATCGCAAACTGAATGTAAAAGCGCATTCATAGAAGATTTATAACTTAAAGTAAAATATATTAGTGACATTATTTTATTCAAGTTGGTGCAATTGTCAGTTCAGTTGCATTATCAGTTGCATAATTTCAATAAATGGCGGCTTTTGATTATGTAATAACATAATCAAAAAAAATAAGATTATAAACAAATTGACGTTTTTCCAAAGAGTTAAGCTGAACAATTGATAACTGTCAAAGTAAAACTTCATTCTATTGTTTTTTGCGACGTTGCCGTAATGCAAATCAAAGTTTCATCGTAAATCCTCTTTAGATTAAACATGTATTCTCCTTTTTTTTTTTCTTTTGTTCGCTCTCTTCGAATACGGCGCGCTCTTAATATCGACGGGATTAAATATTTAGGACGGCTTTAAATGTGATTACGTTGTCGACTCGATCGTCTGGTGTATATTGAGAGAACGCTGAATTATTTAATAACATTCCTTCTTCGTGAAAGGAAGAAGAAGCAGGCGAAAAACAAAGCGCGCGTCTGCAAGTGGGGCACGTTCGAACAAGTAATAGGACTATATTTTCGTCCTTGTCCTCTCATTTAGACAACAACAACAACAAAAAAGAACGAAAGTTTAGTAATATTACTAAATTCAGTTTAAAACTAAATGGGATTGGTATGTTTCACTCGAAGCTCTCGTGTCAATTGCGTAACATAACAAACTGTCATTGTTTAATTCATTATTTTTTTGTTCACGAGATGGCGTTTCGTTATTTTAATTTTGTTTTATTAATTATGCAATTTCAAAGCTTTGAGACGTTGACTGTAAACTATATTTTTTGGTATTGGTATGTTTCTCTCGAAGAATTCGTGTCAATTACGTAACATAACAAACTGGCATTGTTTAATTCATTTCTTTTTTTGTTCACGAGATGGCGTCTTTATTTTCATTTTGTTATTTTGTATTCAATTTCAAAGCTTTCAAACGTAAACTATTTTTTTTTTGGTATTGGTATGTTTCTCTCGGAGCATTCGTGTCAATTGCGTAACATAACGAACTGTCACTGTTTAATTCATTTCTTTTTTTTGTTCACGAGATGGCGTCTTTATTTTTATTTTGTTATTTTGTATACAATTTCAAAGCTTTCAGACGTAAACTATTTTTTTTGGTATTGGTATGTTTCTCTCGAAGCATTGGTGTCAATTGCGTAACATAACGAACTGCCATTGTTTAATTCATTTCTTTTTTTGTTCACGAGATGGCGTCTTTATTTTCATTTTGTTATTTTGTTTGCAATTTCAAAGCTTTCAGACGTAAACTATTTTTTTTTTGGTATTGGTATGTTTCTATCGAAGCATTCGTGTCAATTGCGTAACATAACGAACTGGCATTATTTAATTCATTTCTTTTTTTGTTCACGAGATGGCGTCTTTATTTTCATTTTGTTATTTTGTTTGCAATTTCAAAGCTTTCAGACGTAAACTATTTTTTTTTGGTATTGGTATGTTTCTATCGAAGCATTCGTGTCAATTGCGTAACATAACAAACTGGCATTGTTTAATTCATTTCTTTTTTCGTTTACAAGAAGGCGTTTTTATTTTCATTTTGTTATTTTGTATGCAATTTTAAAGCTTTCAGACGTAAACTATTTTTTTTTTGGTATTGGTATGTTTCTCTCGAAGCATTGGTGTCAATTGCGTAACATAACGAACTGTCATTGTTTAATTCATTTCTTTTTTTGTTCACGAGATGGCGTCTTTATTTTCATTTTGTTATTTTGTATGCAATTT